ATAAAATCACACTTCCATGACGAAACCTGCCATTTGTATTTTACGTTTTACATTTTCGTACGATTATTTTCTGATTCATTTTTAAAATTCTTTCAGCTGTCGGCGATGAAACGTGCAAGCAACCCCCTTTAATTCAGCCGCCTGATGCGTCAGTCTAGCAGTCGTACTGCTTCAAGCCTGTTCCTCGAACTATGCACGCACACGCGTCGAAAAATTACACGCACGACTACGTTACACATACGTACATTCGTATATATACGTACGTACGTACGAGCAAAAACTTCATTCTGATCGACTATGGCCGATCCAAGAACCCCTCTTCTCGTCTACAGGTTTCATATTTGTAGTTTCAACGATACAATGCTCCACGACGACAGATGTTTCGTTTTCGAACTTGCCGGTTAAAGTAAAAACAAGTGACAATTAATCTCTGAAGTATCAGTAATATAATTACTTGTAATAGTTTGTAAGTAACATGGATTTTATCGGCATTTTCGTAGTCACCTCAGGATTAAATTTCAAGGTTGGCCAGTATCCTGTCTCTTATTTATTTATTTACATTTATCTACACGTAGGATATATAACTACACGTGAGATATATATATATATATTGGACGTAAGAATTACTAAATGTATAATATATATTTTTATTAAGGATAATATATGCTTTTATGTAATTAATATAATATACTTTAAAAGTTTATTATTTTGTATATAATATTTAAATACATTTATTATTGTAAATATATTTATTTATGATAAGTGGTATTTTTATTTTTAAAATATCAAAAAGAAAATAAACATACTTATTATACTTATTATAAGTGAATAATATATAATTTATATGTAATATATTTATAAATTTACTAAATTACGTATAATATAAATAAATATATTTTATATAAATAAATGTATTTACTTATGATAAGTAGTATTTTTATTTTTAAAATATCAAAAAGAAAATAAAAATACTTATTATACTTATTATAAGTGAATAATATATTATTTATATGTAATATATTTATAAATTTACGTATAATATAAATATATTTACTTATGATAAATAGTATTTTTATTTTTAAAATATCAAAAAGAAAATAAAAATACTTATTATACTTATTATAAGTGAATAATATATAATTTATATGTAATACATTTATAAATTTATTAAATTACGTATGAAATTAAATAAATAAACTATTCAATTTGATATAATTAATAAATTATTCACATATAATATATTTATAAATTTCATTAAACAAATTAATTGTTCAATCACAGCGTGCATGATGGCTGCCAGAATGATTCAAGTAAATACTTTGATAATAAGGAGATGTTCATATTGAAATATTTTTAAACGAAAGATTTATTATTTTACTAATCTTCATCGAAGTTTTTAATTAAACGAAGCTTTGTTCAAACGAAGAAGACTGTCGGAAATTCGTATTTTAGGAGTAGCGCCTTAAGTTTTGACCCGACTTTTCCATCGTTTCGAATTGATTTTTCTAAAGCGCGTGGAGATTTTTCTGTGACGAAATTCGACGCGCATAGGCCCCGTAACGGTCTGGTCCCCCCATAGCCTGGCACGTGCCCTGAAAAGGAATTCCGACGCGGAGGGACCTGGTGGTTCCCGAAACTTGCGTGCAACATTACGTCAGTTTGTATTGATTTTACACCGGCAACGTCATTCCCACTCGGCGTGTGTAACGGGAACGCGTAACCTATAACTTAAGGCAACCGTCGAAGATGATAACCGCGCGATATCGATCCGTTAGCGCGACGGGAATTAAATTATTAAAAAAGATCCTCTTCCCTTCGATCGTGACCAAACGTCAATTCCACGTTTAACATTGAAAAATTCAAACGCTGGAAGTAGGGCTATAAATTTCACTAATTTATTATTTATATACATTGTTGCTGCGTGCTTTCTGTTTTGTCGAATTTATCAACTTCAACTGCTCGTTACTTCTCTTCAACAATTATTAATACTATTGATGATTCTTTAACAGCACGAATTCGAGATGACGACTCAATTAATTTAATAGTTTCTCAGTTTTTCTAATAATTACATAATCCGGCCGATGCAACGAATATTATGTTACCGGAAGTGTTCAATCGTGCACTATCCATTCAGAGATATGTGTACAATAGTTCCTGCGAGTTCTCAATTTTTTTTTCTTTTTTTTTTTTTGGAGCAATATTTGTAAATCCTCCTGTCCTCGGATATCGTACAGTATATTTACCAATGTGCCCTGTGTACCTGTCAGAAATGGTAACTAAACGCGTTCGAATCACGCTGGGGTGATGTGCTATCGATCCGTTTGCAGGCCGATTATTGTGATAAGGGACGATGCGTATTTTGTAATGTTACACCAGCGGACAGAATCGCGCCGTACAATGTACGTTCAATTTGAACATCCAATTTTCTGCAATTTGTTCGCGATATTAACAGCCGTTTATCCGAAATGGCACGCGCCACATCATTAATTGCGATCGCGACGCTTCAGAATGGAAAGGTCAATGTATTTGAAACATGATGCCATTATGAAAATAAAACAGAGCGTATAAACTTCAATTAGCTGTGACTATTTGCCACGATTATAAATATAGTACCAATTATTATATCACTATTATGTCTATCGTGTTACTACCTAATATATTATTACGTTGTCTTATCTATCATTTAACGTGTTACTTTATTATTTTATTAGAATCTAACATTCTCCAGTAATATTAGGAGTATATAAACAGTATATAGATTAGGAGTATTAGAGCTAGTGCCAATTATTATATTACTATTATATCTGTCGTGTTGTTACCTAACATATTATTATTGTTATTGTGTTGTGTGTCGTCTAACGTGTTACTTTATTATTTTATTAGAATCTAACACTCTCCAATAATATTAGGAGTATTAGAGATAGTATTAATTATTATATTACTATTATATCTGTCGTGTTGTTACCTAACATATTATTATTGTTATTGTGTTGTGTGTCGTTTAACGTGTTACTTTATTATTTTATTAGAATCTAACACTCTTCAATAATATTAGGAGTATTAGAGATAGTATTAATTATTATATTGCTATTATATCTGTCGTGTTGTTACCTAACATATTATTATTGTTATTGTGTTGTGTGTCGTTTAACGTGTTACTTTATTATTTTATTAGAATCTAACACTCTTCAATAATATTAGGAGTATTAGAGATAGTATTAATTATTATATTGCTATTATATCTGTCGTGTTGTTACCTAACATATTATTATTGTTATTGTGTTGTGTGTCGTTTAACGTGTTACTTTATTATTTTATTAGAATCTAACACTCTTCAATAATATTAGGAGTATTAGAGATAGTATTAATTATTATATTGCTATTATATCTGTCGTGTTGTTACCTAACATATTATTATTGTTATTGTGTTGTGTGTCGTTTAACGTGTTACTTTATTATTTTATTAGAATCTAACACTCTCCAATAATATTAGAAGTATATAACAGTATATAGATTAGGAGCATTAGAGGTAGTACCAATTATTACATTACTATTATATTTTACTATTATCGTGTTATTACCTAATGTATTATTATTGTTATTGTGTTATGTGTCATCTATCATTTAACGTGCTACTTTATTATTTTATTAGAATCTAACACTCTCCAATAATATATAAACTACGTGTATTTAGAACAATGCTATTTGAAACACAGATTACACAGGAAATGGAGAATCACTTGTCACGTAAAAATAAAAAAATTCCCTAAACCGACACAATTCAAGTGAAATGTGAAAAATCTCTGTCACGACCGCAGATATATGGCTGTGTGATCTTGCGGATTGTAGAATTTTGTAGTGAAAGTACAATTATCAAAAACCAAAGTAGTAAACGAGTAAACGTAGACGAATCGTAGATGTTGCGTGATAACTGGAAAGGGTTGTAGACCTCGATTATCCGATATTCAACGAAATCTACATGCATTTATGCAGGATACCCTTCGGTTAAAGCGACTAATTTTAAAACGAGATTAGCGTTGCAATGAATTACATTAATTAAACAGCATTTGAAGACCATCGTGAGGCAAACGTGTCTAGCCGACGCTAGACGGAATATTACCAAAAGGAAACCGAATTGAATTCGTTTTCGAAATTCAACAGAATCGTGACTAGAATCTCAACTCGAATGTTCGTGGATCCAAGGATCTGTCATTGGGAAAGCCGTGTGCACGAAAAGGTGTACACTCGCGTGTAACAATTACAGAATGAAAAGGCCAGGGGTATTCGCAGGGTGCGCTAACCGATGGATGAAAAGGCTAGTTTCCATCAGCGTGAACGTAGCGGCGCGGCGGGGGCGAAAAAAATCAATAGACCACGTGGGTCGCCGACCGGGTTTTCCGAACCCAGTTTCTCGTCCTGCGTTATCGCGCCGTTTTATCTTTATGACAGATAAAACACAGGCAGAGGGAAAAAAAAAAAAAAAAAAAAAGAAGAAAGAACACTGGCGATTCAGCGAGAAGAAAAAAAAAAATCAGGGGGAAGATCATTTGCCAAGGGAGCTAGCGACATCTCTGCGACGAGGGTTGTTTTCATTTAACCAACCACCACCACCGTGTTCCCGTGATCTTCTGCATCATGGCTCTCGCCAGACACCGCCGTAAATCGTTCATCCCGACATACAAGTATCAATGAATTATCCCAGTGATCTTTCACTCGATCGACTCGCCAGATTTCACCGGATTCTCACGAACAAATTCCAACAACCGTGGCGGCGTCACTGTCCGTAACCACTACGATACGAATTTGCAACGTTATCGACTCAATCTAACGCGATTACTCAACGTGCCATACTTTCAACTGTTCGCGATCGTCCTGGTCGTCGAACGTCCATCGAGTTTTCATTCAACAAATCGGCCCCGCGTTTGCACGAGTTTGCCTCCCTCCTCCCTACCATTTTTCTTCGTCAAACAGTCAATCAGACCCCATCGACGATTACTCACCGAACGATTATTCGCTCAATCTTCCCGATTCCCTCTCGAGCGAGTCCGAGTGGTTCACTGCGGTTCACTGGGTCTCTCTATCCTCTATTGTGTATCACCGTGTCTGTCCGTGTGTTCACAGCGAGAAAGAGAGACAGAGAGAAAGAGAGAGAGAGAGAGAGAGCGAGAAAAAAAAAAAGATCGTATCACCGTGTCCGGTACAACACGCGACGATTATAACCGCACTCGGTGCATCGTTCCTCTTCCTCTTGTAGTATCCTTGTGTTCCTGTTCCGGTCGTTTCGGATCCGGTGGTTCAGACCCGTCTGAACGTCCCGAGGGCGGATGTGGATCGTGCACACACTCGAGGACGAGAGAAAAAGTGAAAGAGAGAGAGAGAGAGAGAGAGAGGGAGAGATAAATAGATAGATAGATAGATAGATAAATAGATAGATAGAAAGAGAAAGAGAGAGAGAGAGAGAGGAGCCACCGAAACGTGCGGCACACTGGTCGAGCTCTGAATGACTGTTCCGTCGGAACGTTCGTTCCGTTCGTGGGCTCGGAGCGTTATAACATGCGGCGACGAGGCTGGCCGGCGCATGTCGTCCCTCTCCTTTCCCTTTCTCTCTTTCCCGCTCTGTCTTTCCCCCCTGGCGAACCTGTGTGTGCGCGCGTTTCTCCATAATATACATAACGTATGCATGCATGTGCTCGCGCGTATGTGTGTGTGTGTGTGTGTGCGTGTACGTACGAGTACGTACGTCCACCCTAAGCTTTATCGACCCGTCGCTTTATCGTTACTTTCTGACAATCGTTATTACCTCCAACTATCGCATTCGATCAGCGTTCGCGTCTTCGCCGCTTGGCCGGATCGCCGGATCTTTCTTTCGCGTTTCGAGCGAAACGAGGGAGCGTGGCCGCGTGTGAATATCGATTTGAAAGAGTTGGACACGGTGTCGGGGGTCGCCGGTGGTTCCGTTGGTCGTTGAATGGGGGGATAGATACTCCAGTCGCGACGAGTCCTTCTCTCTCCGCGAGATGTAGAGCAGAAGTTGAGTAACTATCTGAAATTGAGTTAACCGAATTAGCATTGTGAAGACGTCGCTTCGTTAAACCGGATTGACGGAGGCAGGACGAGTAGTTTCGGTGGACTGTTGGATTATAGAGCCTTGGAGCTTTTGAACGGGGGAGAGGGAGGAAATGAATCGGTCTTGAGGACGTGTAGTTTGATTTTTAATTCGGACCTGGCTTCTCGTCGGGCTTTCTTCATTTCTTCGTGTCGTATTCTTCTTGTAAAATAAACGCAAGACATCTGCATGACACGATTCTTACAAAGAACACGAGAGCAACAGTTTCACGTGATTGAAACGGAAATTTAGTTAAATTTATTAACTAATTTGGCTTTATCATTATATCAATTTAATACCAAGAGATAAATTAAAAATTATTCGTGTTAAAAGTACTGAATATTATAAAATTATATATTATATATTAATTTATATTATATATAATTATATATAACAATTCAACACCAAGAGATAAATTAAAAATTATTCGTATTAAAAATACTGAATATTATAAAATTATATATTATATATTAATTTATATTATATATAATTATATGTAACAATTCAACACCAAGAGATAAATTAAAAATTATTCATATTAAAAATACTGAATATTATATATTAATTTATATTACATAAAAATTATATTATATATTATATATAATTTATATTATATATTTATTATAATATTAATACCGAAGATATTAAATAAATCTTGTGGGTTGTGGGATAAACATAGAGCACCACGTTGAACTTATTGTTCAAACGAATTAAGATTTAGAGAAGAAAAATTTATATATTATGTGTAATAGAAAAATATCTGCATCAGAGATAATTGAATTCGTCCCTCATTTATTAAGAATCTGTAAAGAAATATATAATCTTGATGCTAATTTTGAAGTTTGAGGAAGCTTAAGTATGAAAAAGTAACTGGTACACTCGAGTACAACGCACTCGGAGGAAAAGCTAGAATGAGTACGACACAATGTGTACAACCGGTATCAATCAGTTCATAAATCATTCACTTTCGGTAAACATTAATGTTAACAAGCCGGTATAATGTTCTCCCTTGTAATACGTTACGAATGATAAGTATTCATAGTGATTGCGTGTAACTGCGAGCTCAAGATTCATTATAATACGTGTCGTATGGACATGTGTCGTAAATTTTGTCGTCATACGTGAATGCTTCCAAACAACTTCTTTCTTCTGCGATATGATAAAAATAATTGAGAACAAAAAAATAATTGGTTCATTGGTATTTTCAAAACGATGCTGTTTCATAAAATCAGAAAATTTAAAACCAACTTCTATCGAGTGTCAAAATGCAACCATACGATCTATAATATTTATTTATTTCGACGATATAATATTCTTGATTAATTAAACAAAATCAGTTCGATATATAAGTTTTCAACAGACTTTGGAAGATTCTAGTTGATTTTTCTCTGTAAATCCTTGAATTCTATGATTCCAAACTTTTGACTGAAAGTGTGTTAGTAAGAAAATGAGTAATAAGAATCTGGAATTTATCCTAAAAATAATATCTGTATAATGTAGATATATCTATACCACTATTATTGAGTATATTATGTATTATAAATATTATAATTTTACATATTATATATTATAATTCTATATTTTATATATTATATAATATGTATAATTATATTATATATTATATATATTTTATATATTATATATATAATTATATTATATATTTATTATAATTTTAGATTTTATATATCATATTATATATTATAATAATTTTACCAATGAAAATTAGGAAAGAAAACAGTAAGAATCTCGGATCTAGAGGCCTATCAAAGAACTTCAATATTTCACCAATCTGCATCACAGGATAGTTTATATAAAATATACTATGCAATCCATATCGACCGTTTTATCGATTATAAACGCCCGCGTGCAAAATTTACATCCCCGATCGCTCGTAAAGAATCTTTACATCGCGATACGATGAGCAATAACTTACGACCTGCACGATAATAATCCAGCAATGTTGATTCATCTGTCGTAATTAATTATCATTCTATCTGCATTAGATTACACGATCATTGGTTATATTTTTACGACTGTAACTTCCGGTGTAATAAATTCTAAATTAGCTTCGATCCTTCTTTGTTTGCTCCCTTGTTGATTCGTTTCTTGAAAAAAATCATTCGATAGATCGTCACTTGCAGAAATGAAGAAAATTTCGCAAGTAACGTACCTACTGATTCGATAAATTACTCGACAACAAACTGCGACAACGAGTGCCATATTTTTAATACGGTGAATCATCGCCTCGATTAAACGAAATTAAATTAAACTAATTAATTAAAAGAAAATTAATTAAAATTGTCCATACTCTTATCGTATATCTTCTTATTTATTATCTTTCTGCATTTCCTTTTCAACTTTCCTTCCAATCTCAGTGAAAGACTTTCTCAATTGTATAATTTCTCCGACTTCTCTGTTTAATTCTTCCATTTGTGCGTTTAATTCTTCCATTCTCTAAGCAGAGATGCATCAGTTTGATAAATCATCGCGTAGCAAGCAGTAAATTTTGATAAAGACTCCAATAATAATTCCATTGTTACTTAATTTTGTTTTCTGGCTGGTTTGTTCGAGGCCGGCAGCCGATTTTGAAAAGCCGCGTCGCACCAAAGATGAAAATTTCAAGCGGGATTGCTCGGTCTCGTTTGGAAATCGCGTTGACCAACAACGCCAACAACGTTTCGTCCAACTTTCATCGAGAGTAATCGCATCACGCTTTGCCGTGGCTTGTGTTCTCGCTTGTCGTGTAATTAAAGCCGCGTCGTTGGACGCGCCGGTTTGATAAAATTTCAAATAATCAACTTGCGACTCGCTCTTCGTCAAACACCGCGTCGACAGTTTCGTCGAATGACTTCAGGATCCCGATTGAGTCATTCCGCTAACGAGAAACTCAATTTCATTCGACAGGTCGAAGATCGATTAACACTAGAGAACTATCAAAGTGGTGAAAATGACTAATTTATAATTTCCTATGGAAATTTCATATATTTACAGCAGTGTATTTTCTACTCGAGTGACTTTGACAAAATATATTAGAACCTTGTGTCTTTTATTTAATTAACTTTTTATATTATTAACTTTTCCTTGTACCGTGAATTTCTTTGGTATAAATATTATACTTTTTCGTCGGTAGTTTAGTGTTAAAGATCGACTTAACTTAATAAAGTTGGCAACTGAAAAACTTTGCCTGACTGAATCTGAAATTTCGATTGGAAACTTGCAAAACTGAGGTTCGATCGTTCGAAACGACTAAGAGAAATTGGAAAATCCGAACGAGTTCGTGGATTTATCTCTGTTGGTGGAGGGGAAGAACTCGAACGAGGAAAGCAGATATACAGTTCGAACGAAATTAACGCAATCTAGAGTAACGATAGCTTGTAGTTTTCTGAGAAGAAAAAAGGAAGTAGACGATGTGACGTCGTTACAGAGCGGTACGTGCTTTCCCGAGACTTTTCTTGCGAACTCGTTGTCCCTTCTATTCCTCGGTCAAATGTACGCAAACGATATCCCTGGAAGTTTCGCTCAATCAACGTTAATCGCGGGAATGATCGGTATGACGGCTTGACGATTTATCAAACAGAAGTGTGAACAGCCAACGCGATAAATTGTTTCGGTCGCTTCGTTCTTTTTGTTTTCTTTTTTTCTTTTTCTTCTTTTTTTTTTTTTTTTTTTTTTTTTTTTTTTTTTTTTTTTTTTTTTTTTTTCTCGATCAGAAACTGCACTGTGCCGAGATACGACTGACGATTAAATAATTTAAATCATTCATTTCATTTCTGACACGTGTACCGTCAACTATGAATTTTCTCCGCAGTTCTTTCAGAACTTTTTGCTTTCTCTTTTTTTGTGTTCAATTAGCAGCTGGTAACGGCAGGTTAATTGAATTTTTAATAAAAAAAAAACTTGCTAACTGCAAGATCGTCAGAAGTTAATGATCGTCAGAAGTTAATTAGCTACTCAATATAATTAATAAATTATTATTAACATATATTATAAAATTTATCTGTATGTTTTAATATTAATATATTATACACATATAAATTTAATATTAATACATTATAACATATTACGTGAGAGAGATAAATATCATTTCCAAGTAACATAAATCAACAGAATGTCCCAGAATATTATTATACATCGAATTGTTAATAGAACGTATCAACATGAAATTTTTCTAAAATTACAGTCTAATTTTTCTAAAATTCCTGCAAACATCAAATCTATTTGTACTTTATTCTCAGCTCTATGCTAAAGAAGCCATCACTGTACTATAAAGCCATTATTACCAACGACATTCGAAAACGCAAGCGAAACAACGACAGAATAAAAAAGAAACGAAATTCAAGGCTACACGTGCGTCTAGTTAGAGAGCGAGAACCCGTCGAGGTACAAAAGATCCAGCAGCTGGATCTGCTGTAAGAACTCCAGGTTCGGACCAGGTGTCTCTTTT